CCTGTGGGGGGTGCTGGGGGGGGGGGGGAGACCCGAGCCCACCCAAGGCAGGCTGCCATGGCCTGGGACCACAGGCTCCGCTCCCACGCTCCAGATCTCCGGCACAAAGATGGTGGTGCTGGAAGCCTAGGCAAGTGGAAGGCTTCTTGCCAGTTCTGAGTCAATTTGCTTATGAGGGGTGTATTGCCCTGGGTTTCTGGGGCTGGGAAGCCTCAGCACAGGAGATGGGTAAGCTCCCTGACCTTGCAGTTGAACACAGAGGAGGTGAGAAATTGTGACCAAGTGCCAAAAGAAGGTGTTTCTGTAACAAACCAAGTGAGGTAGCAGGACCGGCTGTCTCGTGCCCATGCCATGCAGAAAGGCTTAAGGGTGGTTGAAATCTATGACTACATTGCATTTGCTGCGTGGCTTTGTTGGAAGCGGCTCGCAGGCTAAGAGGCGGCCACAGGCGATGGTGAAGCTTGTTACACAAGGGCAAGGGGTGATGCTGAGAGCTGCCAGCACCCCAGCCTCACGCTGGCCACAGGTAAACTGAGCAGTTTGAATGCCCCCACGACAGACTGTTAGGAAAATGAAACCTTAATGGTCGGGAGGGGTGGGGAGACAACACGGGAGAGCAACAAGTGGTGTTGGACAATCCAGAAAATACTTGGTTTGTCCAGACTAGAGCTCTGCAAAAGGTAGAGCTCTCCCAGATACCAGCCTGGAATACAGGGCTGTTCGGAGAAAAGCAATCTGCTAAAAACCAGTGAGAAGAAAACCATTCTACACTGCTCATTAGCCTGGGGGACTCGCCGTGGAGCAGACGGCTACAGGGACAGGAGACTGATGGTGTTGAAAAGGATCAGACATTTCTGGGGATAGCAAAATAATCTCAGACACTTTAAAGGTGTCTGGAAAAGACGAACTGTCCTACTTCAGGGATGCAAGGCTACTGCTAATTAATGTGGATGAGGAAGAAGCATCCCATAGGGATGGTTACTCTGTAATTGCCCAGGATACAAGCTTTTGCACCTTCTTTTGCAAAGCTGTCTGAGTGAGCAAACAAGCAGAGGGGGTGGATCCCTGCCTGGAGTCAGCGTGACAATTTTAAGCCTGGGGCTGCTGGCTCAGTAGTTTTTCTCTTCCCTGGTAATCCCCATCCCTTTTATTCTGTGTTTTGCCAAGCGCGTAGGAGCCCCGTGCTGTGTTAGCCTGAACATCCCGGTGTGTCCCGCTCACAGCAGGTCACATCACACTTTCACTCTTGCTGTGCCCCTTTCCACCAGCATGTTTGAGCTGCCCCAGCCCCAAAGCACTGCGCCCACCACTGTGCCTTTGGGGATCTGGTGGCGGGGGCTGGGGGGGCGCGGAGGAGGGGGGCGACGCTACGTGCCGTGAATGCCTTCACCAGGGATGTAGCTGCCATCCCCGTGCTCTGCCAGCACCCGGGAGCACCCAAAACCACCTTTGCCCAGGCATGCGTGGCAGAGGGTGCTCACCACCCTTGTACCTGAGTCCATGAGTCCCAAATGCCTCTGGTGTGAGCGCAGCTGGTGGTATGGGAAGTCCACGCTGCCGGGCACATCCAGGGACCAAAATGTGAAATGTACTCCGGGCACAATGAATGCCTGGCTGGTAGGTGGGAGCTGTGACAGTGTCCAGGGCATTGCTGCTGTCATGCGACACCCAACAGCCTGCTCACAGGTTTTGCAGTGCCTGGAGGTTTCTGCCTGGGTCATTCCCCGGTGAAACAGATTTTGCAGGGGAGCAGGGATGCCCTGGAAATCTGGGAGGAAAAATCCCTGGCCATATGCATGGAGAGGTGCTGTATGAGGTCCTGCCCACTGATGTTTCTTGCTCTTTCTTCAGCTCCACACTGCTAGCAGGCTGAAACATCAAAAACCTGGGAAGCCTGCCAGTCTGTCACTGGAAATGATCCCCAACCAGCTGAGGGGCAGCTCTTTGGTGTCCAGGCAGGAAGAAGAGACAGTGGATGGCAGGATTGGCTCTGAGCAGGATAGAGACCGTGTTGCTTCAGGTCATGGCCAGGGTCTGAAGTCGGAGCCCTGTTTCCAGACCGAATCTCTCTTGCCTTCCAGCAGTGCATCCCTGATATCACAGCTCCTCAGCCACCCAATGGCTGGCAGCAGCCTGGATCCCACCATCCTTTTCCCTTCCTCTCAGGCAGTAGCCCTGCCTCAGGACTACGAGCATGGTGCATCTCCTGGAGAAGGAGCGCAAGCCCTGGCTTTCCCCAGGACCCGTGCCCTGGCTCCCATGTCCTGTGCTGGTGACAGGGACCAGCTCTCTGACCAGCACCTACAAGCCAAGCGAGCCAGGGTGGAGAGCATCATCCAAGGCATGAGCCTCCCACCAACCCCTCAGGCATTTGGCACCAGCCTGGAGGCAGCTTTTGGGCACAAGAGGGAGAGGGGCAACAAGATGCCCCGGGAGAGCAAGAGGAAGCCGAGGGTGCCCCAGCAGGGTGCGGGGGTGGCTGGGCAAGTGGCCCCCATGGGTGGCAGCCCCCATGCCGAGGGCTGCCAACAGCTGAAGGAGCAGCTCTGCTTTTTAGAGCAGCAGCTCAGGCAGCTTCAGGAGAAGTTCTCCCAGGTCTGTGACTCTGGGGATGCTGCCCAAACCCAGGAAGCTGCTGAGAAAGTGCATCCACTGCCTGGAAAGCCTGGAGACAGACTGGACAAGGACAATGCCACTGCCACGAGCGACCCACGCAAAGCACCCCTCTGGAGGAGCATCTTGGAGGTGCATGGGCTGGAGGAGGATGAGGACAGGGACGACACAGGTGGCCTGCCCTCGGCAGCAAGAGTCCTCTCACAGGCGCTGAAGCATGAGCTGGCTGGGGTGACGTCCCGGGTGGTAGACTCTGTCCTGAAGACCGCCTGGCCAAAGGCAGCCAGCCACCTCCTGCAGCAGCATCGCAGCCTCCCAGTGCTGGGGCCAGATGGCAGGACAGAGTATTTCGCTGCTGGGAAATGCAGAAAGCCCCTTGCTAAGCCATCACCCATGAACGTACCGGGCTCGCTGGGTTCACCCCAGGCTGAGGCCCTGTCAGGAGCTTCAGGGAAGAGCCTGGGCTCTCATGCTGGCTCCTTCAGTTCAAAAGGGGTCAGAAAACCCTCTCAGGTACCCAGCATGGGTTATGCACTGGGCTCAGCTGCCCCCATCCAGGACAGCCAGCTGCTGAGCCAGCTGCTGGGCTACAGCCAGCACGGCCTCTGGGGCAGTGGCTCTCGTGGGAGCCCCTCTGCTCCGGAGAGGGGCTCTCCAGAGCCCCGTGACTTGCGTTGGGGAACTGTCAAACTGAGGTCATCAGTCGTGAGACAGCAGCAGCAGCATCCCCTGTCCCTGAGCCCTGCTGCTATGGAGAGCCTGGCGCTGCTGCCGGCTGGCAGGGATGGCCGCGGGGAGCTGCAGGCTGCGATGCATGGGGCACCCTTTGCCTCCACCCATATATCCTTTGGGGGCAGCTAGGGAGGTCCCTGGGCTCGGCTGGAAGGGGCTTGGATGTGCTCCCCGTGTCCTCAGGAGCCACAGCTCAGTGCAGTCCCAGCTGGTCTCCCCAGGGCCAGGGTTCCTGCTGCTCCACAGGAGGCTAAAAAGGGGTGGGCAGGAAAGGGGTCCTGAGCCATGGAGGGGCACCGCTGCTCCTCAGGGTTGGTTAGATGCTGTAGCGTAGCTGGAGGTAGAAGTCAGGAGCTCCCAAACCTGCTCTTAGACCATCCTGGTGGTCCTGTCATCCTTTGCCAGGAACAGGCGTCTACATGGAAATCCCTGTTCCCACTGGCCTGGGAAGTGCCGTGGGGAGTGGCAGCTTCCCCAGGGATGCCAAAGGGAAGAGCCAGTGGC